CCCTTTTGGTTCTCTATCTCCAGGTCTTTGCACATTTCATTATAATACTTTGTCTTCTTGAGCCACTCTTGGAAATTTTCTGTTCAGCTCTTTTACCTCATCATTTCTTCCATTTGCTTTAGCTACTCTATGTTCAAGAGCATGTTTCAGAGTCTCTTCTGACATCCATTTTGGCCCTTTCTTTCCTTTTTCTTTTAATTTTATTGTGTTTTAGGTGAAAGTTTACAGTGCAAATTAGTTTTTCATTAAAAAATTTATACACAAATTGCTTTGTGACATTGCTTGCAATCCCCACAATGTGTCAGCACTCTCCCCCTTTCCCTTTCCACCCTGGGTTCTCCATGTCCATCCAGTTTTCCTGTCCCTTCCTGCCTTCTCATCTTTGCTTTCAGGCAGGTGTTGCCCATTTGGTCTCGTATACTTGATTGAACTAAGAAGCAAGTTCCTCACGTGTGTTAGTTTGTTTTCTAGGCCTATCTAATCCTTGGCTGAAAGGTGGACTTCGGGAGTGGCTTCAGTTTTGAGTTAGCAGGGTGTCCATAGTCTCAGGAGTTCCTCCAGTATCTGTCAGACCGGGAAGTCTTCTTTGGTGAATTTTGTTCTGCATTTTTCTCCCACTCTGTCTGGGATCCTCTATTGTGGTCCCTCTCAGAGCAGCCAGTGGTGGTACCATCTAGTTGTTCTGGGCTCAGGCTGGTGGAGGTTGTGGTTCATGTGGTCCATTAGTCCTCTAGACTAGTATTTTCCTTGTGTCTGTTTTTCTTCATTCTCCTTCGCTCCGAATGTGATGGGACCAATCTTAGATGGCTGCTCGAAAGCTTTTAAGACCCCAGATACTACTCATCAAGTAGGATGTAGAACATTTTATGAACTATGTTATCCCAATTGACTAGATGTCCCCTGAGACCATGGTCCCCAGCCCTCAGCTGCAGTAACTGAGTCCCTCAAGGTGTTTGGATTTGTCTAGGAAGCTTCTGACTTTGCCTTGGTCAAGTTGTGCTGCCTTCCCCTATATTGTGTGTCTTTCCCTTTACCAATGTTAACACTTCACTACTATCTAGTTAGTGACTTCCCCTCCCCACCTCTACCCTCCCTCATAACCGTCAAAGATTGTTTTTTTCTGTGTGTAAACCTTTTCTTGGGCTTTTATAATAGTGGTCTCATACAATATTTGTCCTTTTGTGACTGACGTATTTCACTCATCATAATGCAAAGACCTGGAGATAGAAAACCAACAGGGAAGAACACGTTCGGCATTTCTCAAGCTGAAAGAACTGGAAAAAAAAATTCAAGCTTCGAGTTGCAATACTGTAGGATCCTATGGGGAAAATATTTAACAACCTATGAAGCATCAAAAGAAGATGGAAGGAATACACAGAGTCACTATACCAAAAAGAATTGGTCAGTGTTCAACCATTACAAGAGGTAGCATATGATCAGGAACCGATGGTACTGACAGAAGAAGTCCAAGCTGGACTGAAGGCACTGGCAAAAAATAAGGCTCCAGTAATTGATGGAATACTAATTGAGATGTTTCAACAATCGGATGCAGCGCTGGAAGTGCTCACTCGTCTATGCCAAGAAATTTGGAAGACAGCTACCTGGAACCAACTGGAAGAGATCCATATTTATGCCTATTTCAAGGTGATCCAACTGTATGTGGGAAATTATTGATCATTAATATCATATGCAAGTAAAATTTTGCTGAAGATCATTTCAAAAGTGGCTGTGGCAGTCTATCAACAGGAAACGGCCAGAAATTCCAGCCAGATTCAAAAGAAGAAGTGGAACAAGGGATATCATTGCTGATGTCAGATGGATCCTGGCTGAAAGTAGAGAATACCAGAAACATGTTTACGTGTGTTTTGTTGATTACTGAAAGGCATTCGACTGTGTGGATGATAACAAATTATGGGTAACAGTGCAAAGAATGGGAATTCCAGAAGACTTAAATTGTGCTCATGAGGAACCTGTACACAGACCAAGAGGAAGTCATTCGAACAGAACAAGGGGATACTGCATGGTTTAAAGTCAGGAGAGGTGTGCCTTAGGGTTGTATTCTTTCACTATACCTATTCAATCTGTATGCTGAGCAAACAATCTGAGAAGCTGGACTATACGAAGATGAATGGGGCATCAGGATTGGAGGAAGACTCATTAATAACCTGAAAGATGCAGATGACACAACCTTAGCTGCTGAAAATGAAGAGGACTTGAAACACTTACTGATGAAGATCAAAGACTACAGCCTTCAGTACAGATGACACTGAAATATAAAGAAAACAAAAATTCTCATAACTGGACCAATAAGCAACATCATGATAACGGAGAAAAGATTGAAGTTGTCAAGGATTTCGTTTTACTTGGATCCATAATCAACATCATGGAAGCAGCAAAGAAATCAAAAGATGCACTGCACTGGGCAAATCTGCTGCAAAAGACCTCTTTAAAGTGTTGAAAAGCAAAGATGTCCTCTTGCAGACTAAGATGTGCCTGACCCAAGCCATGGTGTTTTCAACTGTCTCATACGCATGCGAAAGCTGGACAATGAATAAGGAAGACCGAAGAATTGACGCCTTTGAATTGTGTTGGCAAAGAACATTGAATATACCATGGACTGCGAGAAGAACAAACAAACCTGTCTTTGAAGAAGTACAACCAGAATGTTCCTTAGAAGCAAGGATAGCAAAGCTACGTCTCAAATACTTTGGACGTGTTATCAGGAGTGATCAGTCCCTGGAGAAGGACATCGTGCTTGGTAAAGTAGAGGGTCAGCAAAAAAGAGGAATGAGATGGACTGACACAGTGGCTGCGACAATGGGCTCAAACATAACAACAATTGTGAGGATGACTTGGGACCGGGCAGTGTTTCATTCTGTTGTACACTGCGTTGCTGAGTCGGAACTGACTCAACAGCACCTAACAACACCCTCCAGATTCATCTACGCTGTGAGATATTTCATGGATTCATCGTTCTTTATTGTTGAGTAGCATTCCATTGTGTGTATGTACCATAATTTGTTTATCCATTCATCTGTTGATGGGATCCTTCCTGTTTTTTTAATGTTCTTCTGTGATGTCCTTGATGTCATCCCACAACTTGTCTGGTCTTCAGTCATTAGCGTTCGGTGTGTCAAATCTAATCTTGACATGGTCTTTAAATTCACGTGGGATATACTCAAGGTTGTACTTTGGCTCTTGTTGACTTGTTTTAATTTTCTTCACTTTCAACTTGAACTTGCATATGAGCAATTGATGGTCTGTTTCACAACTGTCCCCTGACCTTGTTGTTTCATTTTTGACAAGTGTTTTATTTTTGACAACTTGCAATTTTCCTAGATTCATACTTCCTACATTCCACGGTCTGATTATTAATGGATGTTTACAGTTGTTTCTTCTTATTTTGAGTCACAGCACATCAACAAATGAAGGTCTCGAAAGCTTTACTCTACTTTGAGGAGGAAGCTCTTCCACAGTTGTATTCTGCCTGCCTTCCAACCTGAGGGGCTCATCTTCCAGCACTGTATCAGACAATGTCCCGCTGCTCTCCATAAGGTTTTCACTGGCCATTTTTTTTAGAAGTAGATCGCCAGGTCCTTCTTCTTAGTCTGTCTTAGTCTGTAAGGTCCGCTGAAACCCGTCCACTATGATCGACCCTGTTGGTATCTGAAATACCAGTGGCATAGCTTCCAGCGTCACAGCAACATGTAAGCTACCACAGTATGACAAACTGACAGATAAGTGGTGGAATCTCAACTTACTCAACTGGAAAATTGGTTTCATACCACCAACTTCATAGTAGTATAATGCAGAGTAAGTGGAATAACAGGTAAACTACAGTGTACACTGTTTGACAGGTGTAGATATTTATCTTACTCAATGGCAACTATTATTTTATACACAAGATCTATCTTATAGATAACCTAGTTAATTATCAGCTACAATGCTGAGTGTTGAGAATTAAAAGCACTCTGTTACATTATTGCTCTGTAACATGAGAAGACTTTCTGCTAAGATGGACTTTACACACCTGGGTTTGGGCAAATACTAACAAATACATGTATCTACATCTATAATAGTGCTTACAAAATACTTAGTGATCAAAGAGCTTTAGATCTGTTAAAGAAAACAGTTCTTTTAAGCATCATGTAGACCAAAGGCTTGGAGGAGTCTTCCAGCTATGCTTCTAGCTATTCAAAGAGGCCAACAGCAGCTAGACTTAAAAAACAAGTAGTACTGAGTCTCCTACCTTCAGCGGCACCTGTTTAAAAAAATTCCATGTTAGCCACTCTACTCCATTTCCCCTACTAGAAAAACTTGAAGCCTTGCAACCAGTCTAAAGTGGATGTAGAATCCCAGCTACTCCTGGAATCCATATCCAAATCTGGGAGTCTCACATATTGTTTATCTTTCAGAAAGGAAAAGGAGGAGGATTCTTGTTTCTGTCTCATTCATTTAATCCCCTGCCCCAAGGAACTCTTAAACTCTTCCTAGGCCTCTAATACTGAAGTCACAAGAAGAGCTATAAAATTCAGTTGTTTGTTTCCCACCATGGATAGCATGGAGTGGATTAAAGAGACTTCAAAACTGTATCTAGGATAGTCAAATTAGAAAACCACTCTCATCCTAATTTCCATAACGCAAATAGTGACAGAAAGCTTCAGGGAGCAACACTGTAGACAGAAGGAAAAAACAAGCACAATTCTGTCTCACTATTCTCACATTTTCAGGAATGCAAAGGAAAGGGGAAGAAATTGCAAAGCAAAGAAATCAATGGTCTCTCAAAGAGCAACTATGGCTAGATAAAAAGTCAGCGTTCTTCCTGCCTTTAATTAAGAATGTTTCTTATCATTAAACAGAACTTTTTTATATGTATGTATCCAAGGGGTTTTTGGTGCGGGGTGGAGTGAACAGGTGGAGCATACGGGATTTTGGGGCAGTGGAACTATTCTGTATGAGACTGTAATAATGGACACATGGTATTATACCTTTGCCAGAAAACAAAACCCATAGAACTGTACAACAGAGCGAACCCTAATGTAAACTACAGACTTTAGTTAATAATAATGTATCAATATTGGTTCATCAATTGTAACAAAGGTACCACACTATGCAAGACATTAACAGCAGGGGAAACTGTGTATAGGAGAGGACTCTGTACTTTGGGCAATTTTTCTGTAAACCTAAAATCGCTCTAAAAAGTCTATTTAAAAAATAAGCTAACCTTCCTCCCAAGTTGCTACGTATGAAGCTCAAACTACAAAGCCTTTAACTGGAAGAACATGGTTATCTTTTTTCTTACTGTGGAATTTTCTCAATAATTTTATTATACACACACTCACTAAAATATAGCTGAACAGACTGATGTGAGGATGCACTACTTGATACCTAAGAGTGGAGTGAGCCACCAGGTGGGTGAAGGAAACAAATAAGAGAAAAAAGAGTGGTGAGGAGAGAACATGTGACTTCCAAAGTAATTTCAGAGTAAGAGTTAGATATAGGCAAATAATATAGTAATGCAGATATTTATTTTCAGCTTACGTTTGGCAAAAGACATCCCAAATCCCAAGGATCATTAATGAACCACATGAAATACCATCTCAGAGAAATATGTTCCAAAAATTCACATTTATATATTCTGGTTTGGCTGTATGTAAGTTCCAAATATTTAAGGGCATGCATCAGTTTTACAGTTAACAAAAGGCAAACACTCAAATAAAGATATCATGAAAGCTGATGATGCCTAGAAAAAATGAACCACTTTTTTAAAATGTTTTCCTTTCAGTGTCAAAATTAATATACAAAAATAGCATCAAGTGAGTAACCGTGTGTGGGAGGGCAGAAACTTCGTAATGACACGACCATAAAAATGTTAAGTACAATGCACTGCACACATTTAAGTTGTAGATTACACAGAAAAATGGCGAATGTCCACAGGCTATTTATTAATTGACCAAAATGTGAGGACAAACAATGATTAAATTTTGGCTTAAGTGAGTAATTTGGTGACCTATTATGTATAATCTCTGGTTAGCCAAAGATTGTTTTTTGATGTTCAATTTTTCATATATACTATCCCAGGTAAGACATTTAGTATTCATCACAAAATTCTTAGTTCCAGGTATTTCCTAAAAGAGAATAATAGCATCAGAATATTATCACAACCACACCAGAATAATATCACAACCTCCGTAACACTACCAAAAATGGACCACACTTACCATCCATCTTCAAATATTCTACATATCAATGACTACAAAGAGGACGATATGGTCTTACTTAACATTGTAATTAAACAATTCCCATAAAACTTTCATGGTCTTTTGTATTTTATAAAGTATCCAAAAATCAAATACTATTCAGTTAATGTGTCAGACCCCAAGTTTAATTACATATGATCAAAGTAAATTTTAAAATAGCCCCACCTGGAATAAAAGAAAGAGGTTCATTCATCTTTACATGCCCATAGGCTAAGTCTAAATTTGCACATAAAAGTAATCAACAGGTACTGATGAATTGAAGGTATTAATTTGCAACAAGTGATCAAGATCAAGAAAAGTTTTTAAAAACAAATATAGCAGCTAAAATCAATCACTCATTCAAGAATGATATGCACAGTATAAAACCTTTTACAGAAAAATTTAAAACTCACACAACAATACTGTAGCAAAATCTGCAAAAGCCAGAACCTGTATAAGGCAGAACCCTGCGAGAGAAGGAAAACTTAAATATTTTCCACTAATACAGAGGAACAGAAAAGTGGTAAGACTGCACCCTGTCAAAGGTGGAAAACTTGAGAGACCCAGAAAAACAAGGCAGTCCCATTGAGTTCCGACTCTCACAGGTTTCACTGTGTAAGATTCCAGATTTGAGCATGCACTGGAATGGTGAATATGGAATTTTATGTTGATGGTTACCTCTGGGTAGCACGAGTAGGGGAAACAGGATGGGGGCGGGGGGGACACACAAAATCCTCAATTGTTCTCTTATTTGGATTTAAAACAAATGTTACAGTGCTAACTTTGATAAAACAGGATGATGGGTATGGGGGCTCACTATACTTCTCTTGTCTGCATATTTGTAATTTAAAAAAGGAAAAGAAATGGCACATTTTTAAGAACATTAGAATGTTGCAGGAACAATCAGCTATGTACTGACGATTAAACAGCATTTACCAGCGAATTATCTATTTTATGTAGGTCATTTGTTTGAAGATCAATGATCTGTGCTATGCATCTTCTTTTATAATTTCAATATATATTTATTTGTGATTCTTTAGATTTTTAGTAAAATGAATTTCTGTTTTTCTTTAAAAAGTGAAAACTAAATTATGAAGCAGTATTTTAAGCAAACTGTAATGATTCCATTTATTTGATCTGATTTATAACTGAGTACAATTTTTTTTTCCCACTTGTATTTAATTCCATGACTCACCATCCTCTAACCTGAAAACCAAACCAAACCAAAACACACTGCCGTCCAGTCAATTCCGACTCATAGCGACCCTATAGGACAGAGTAGAACTGCCCCATAGGGTTTCCAAGGAACACCTGGTGGATTCGAACTGCCGACCTTTTGGTTAGCAGTCGAACTCTTAACCACTACATCACAAGGGTTTCCTCTAATCTAAAAAAAAAAGACAAAACAAACTCATCGCCGTCGAGTCAATTCTGACTCATAGCAACCCGATAAGGAACCCTGAATGGCACGTGTTATTTTAGCCCAACATTTCCCAAAGTATATTCCGGTTTATAAAAGTCACAGGAGCTTCTTCTTGGAAAAGAATTCTGAGGTCAAACAAGATAGGAAAACGCTCCCTTGCACAGTCACAATGCATATCAACATGTTAAAGGTCTGCAACATTCCACAGTAAAGATAACCCCAAGCTTCTCAAGGTCATTTGATCACAGGATCATTTCTGTGCAACATCTGTAACATTTTCTATCTAGATTTTGTGTTTGGAGAATACATGAATTAATTGATGTCATGCATATTTCTGAATATTCACCATTCTGGAACAATTCAGTTTCAAAAATGCCATCTTTTCATAGCACATATACCATGTTTACAGCCCCCAAATGTTGGCTTGCCTCTTTTACTTATTCATCAGTGTTTTTTTTTTTTTTAAACCTTAGAAAATAAAGAAAATCTATTCAAAAGGTAGTGGCAAGGTAATGTAACCCAACAGTTAGTATGACATAATTTTAAAGGTGTCCCTAGTCATATTTTGCAAAAGTAAAAGCAACAAGGTTTTCTTACGGAGAACGTATTTTTCAATTTTTATCTCACCCCCTAAATTAGTGTATGATAAAGTCACTTGAATGACAAATTCAGTTAATTAAGCATAAACCAGAAAACATTTTGCTTTGATTGTTGGTGCTAAAAAGATTTTTTTTTTTTTTTTTACCTAAAACTGATTTTTTTTTTCTACATTTAAAAACTAAGACTGGGCTGAAAGTGTCCTAGTTCAAATCATAAACAAGAATTCTTAGTATGTATGTGGTCATTTTCCTGTGGTCAGTCCCCTCAAAAGTAAACTACTAAAAAATTAATGCAGCAGATTACAGTTAAGATTTTACTGCATATTGTTATATAAGAGTAACCACACATTTTCAACAAAAATCCTAAATCTCCCTTTGAAATATTTCATCTTTAAAGTGAATATGAATTAAAACACATTAACAACAATTAATTTATGTGAGGAAATTTCTATTAGAAGAAAATTACCTTATATTGCCTGATTGATTCAAGGCTCCTTGAAATTCCAAGCTTTTACAATTAATTATTGCTTGTATATCAACATGGAGAGCATAAAAGACCTGGTAGTAAAGTCACAAAACTTTTATTTATTATCATAGTAAATACAGTAAATACTTTCCTGGCATTTGATGTAACTCAGAACTATTTTCTGAAACGGGTTCAAATCTGAAGTTAAGCCAGCCAGGATGATGTCTTTATAAAAAAAAAAAAAAAGAAAGAAAGAAATTCAACCATCAAAAGATACATTTCATATAATAACAAAATATAAAAATAGAAGCCAAGTGACAGAATGAAATAGAAAGCTAAGTAATGGATATAAGAAACTTTTGATTCTATCCCTCTGACTTGTTGCTAATGGTCCTCTTTGTCCTTTCATTGTTACATATGTAAAACAGGTATGATGATAACTTAACAGTAGTCTTGCAAGACTTGGGAGGAGTTTAAAAGGAATGATTTAAAAAGTGTACAAATACTTATATAAATACTTTTGTCTTGCTTTGGTGAAGGTGTCTTTATAAATCGGATTCTAGTTATTTCTTAACATTGTTTCAAACTCTCAACTAGAGAGATGTCAGTTGTTTTCCAAAGTGGTAATCTCAGTTTATCACAATATTTTTATTAAGAAAGACAATACTAGAGCTGTCCTACCTGAGGAAAAAAGAGAGAACTGTAGCACAATTGGTAAAGGTCCTACACTTAATTCATCAAGTTACGGACAGTCCAGTTGACCTTATATTTTGTTACTCCAACGGTTTTCAAGTACTGTTTTGAAATCATAATCTATCTCTAATGAGATTTCTTAGAGAAATAGGAAGATTTTCATTTCTGTAAACATTTACAGTGCCAGCTGTTTCTTCAAAAAGATTTTTTCCCTCTGTACTGTTCCCCTTGAGAGAGCTGCTCCAGTGAAGAATCATTTCTTATACATCCACATCCGGACCCAAAATGAAACTAAACCTTTTTCTGTGAAAAGGCAGAAATACCCAAGTAATGTGAAAGCTTTCTGTAGTCAAGGAATTGCCCAGCTATTCCAAGCATGTAATCACTCCTTATAGATTCCTGATGAATTAAAAATGTTCTCTAGTTACTCATAGCTCATCAGAGCTGTTCACCTTTAGTAGTTTACATTCGTCAATGGCATGACAACTCTGAAGGACGCCCTTGTAATGGTTCTTCAGATCCTCATACAAAGAAACAGTTTCTTGTGAGTGAGCAAAGGGTAACACCTTTTCATTCAATAACATCTGCACTTGGAATTCTTCCTTAGGAGTCTTAGCATTTTCACAATGGTAAAGCAGAAATATCAGGTTCGAGGCATAGGGCACAATATGACCACTTCGGAACTTCCGATGCATTTGTTCCTTGTAATTGTAAGCAGTTAGGGGCTCTCTGTCTTTGAAGTAGCCCATGAGTGAAAGCAGTGGAAGAAGGGTCTCTGCATGACCAAACTGGAGGATTACTGGAGAAGAAATTGGCTGAGACCTGAAAAAAGAAATTGAGGAAAAAAATATATATATGTGTGTGTATATACTCATCTCATAAAAAATAATATCTATACTTAGAAGTATTACACAACTCTCCTATCTTTTTTTTCTTTTTTATCTTTATGTATACAACTCAACCATAAAGCTAAAATCGGTGTGGCACAGAACTGAACTTTTTATACTGAAAGTTCCAAAATTCAGGTCAGGATCACTGTAGTGTTGCAAAGCCATCCAAAACAGCATGTCTATATATTATCCTTTAAGTTTCAAGACGTTTTTCTTTTTGAAGATTAAGGAACTTGAAACAGACGTATTCCAATATTGTGTTGTCTTTCTGTGAATGAAAACGAGCAAATAAGCCCTTAGTAAATACTGTTTACTCCATGGAGTTCTTCTGCGCTAACTTAAAGTGTTATTATTTTATCTATGTCTAGGGAATAGGGTCGCTATGAGTCGGAACTGACTTGACAGCAATGGGTGTGGGTTTTTTGTTTGTTTGTTTAGGGAATAAGGACATACAGTATTCAGTAAATTTCTTGGTGAAGGCCAAGGCTGAACAATAAATAGCAATTCAGTGGTTTACCAGATCTGACTTGGGCATCAAATTGAGAACAGAGCCACAAAAGGGCAGAGATACAACCTATTTTAGCCCCTTCTGGCCCAGTGGTTAAGCACTCAGCTGCTAACCGAATGGTTGGTGGTTTGAACCCACCAGCCGCTCCATGGGAAAAAGATGTGGCAGTGTGCTTCCATAAAGATTTACAGCCTTGGAAACCCCACGGGGCAGTTCTGCTCTGTCCTACAGGGTTGTTATGAGTCAGAATCTACTCGACAGCAATGGGTTAATGTGTCTGTGGTTGAGAGTAGAAGTTCAGACACTGACAGAAACACAACAAATTTCAGCACTATGAGCTGAGTTGCCTTTTCTTTAAGTTTTCTATGGTTTTTTCTGATAAAGGGTTTTTTTTTTTTTTTAAAATAAGAAACAGTGAATGACTGCTTAGACCTTTCCAACTTTTATAGAAAAACTATGACTATAGTTCTTCTACACAGACCAAGAGATAGTCGTAGGAACAGAACAAGGGGATACTGTGTGGTTTGGGATCGGGAAGGGTGTGCATCCGGGTTATACCCTTTCACCAGACTTATTCAATCTGTATGCTGAGCAAACAATCTGAGAAGCTGGACTATATGAAGAAGAACATTGCATCAGGATGGGAGGAAGACTCAATAACAACCTGTGATATGCAGATGATACAACCTTACTTGCTGAAAGCTAAGAGGACCTGAAGCAATTAGTGATGAAGATCAAAGACCACAGCCTTCAGTATGGATTACAACTCAACATGAAGAAAACCAATAAGCAACATCACAATAAATGGAGAATATACTGAAGTTGTCAAGGATTTCATTTTACTTGGATCCACAATCAACGCCCACAGAAGCGGCAGTCAAGAAATCGAACGACACATTGCATTGGGAAAATCTGCTGTAAAAGACCTCTTTAAAATGTTAAAAAGCAAAGATGTCACCTTGAGGACTAAGGTGTGCTGGACCCAAATCATGGTATTTTCAATTGCCTCATATGCATGCAAAAGCTGGATAGTGAATTAAGGAGCATCAAAAAAGAATTGATGCACATGAATCACAGCATTGGTGAAGAATATTGAACATACCATGGACTGCCAGAAGAACGAACACATCTGTCTTGGAAGAAGATATTCTCCTTGGAAGTGAGGATGGTGAGACTTCGTCTCATGTACTTTGGACATTTTATTAAGGGGGACCAGTCCCTGGAGGAGGACATCATGCTTGGTAACACAGAGGGTCAGCGAGAAACAGGAAGACCCTCAACGAGATGGAATGACACAGTGGCTGCAACAATGAGCTCAAACATAGCAACGATTCTGAGGATGGCGCAGGACCAGGCGGTGTTTTGTTCTGCTGTACACAGAGTTGTTATGAGTCAGAACCAACTCGACGGCACCTAACAACAACAACATGGTTCTTAAATATAATTTGTACACCTAATTAAACATGACCAACCACCTGGATTCTTGCTGCCACTCCTACACATTGGGTTACAAATTTAGCGCATCTGGACTGGGAGGACAGCAACAGTATTTGTAGCGAAGTTTGGGGATCTTCCTCATTCACCGCATAAAAACAGATGGAGCAACTAGATAGCAAATCCAACGTTTAAGCTTAACTATGTAATAAAGTATTCTCTATGAAGCACCAAGAGCCTCAAAACCTGCATATTGTCAGTTATCTGGGTCTATTTGGTTAATTTATGTTTAGATGTCACAGGCCCTACCAGTCCATGCCAAGCCAGGAAACTTGCTAGTTTCTTTTCTTCCTTTTTTTGTGGGTGGCGGTGGGGGAAGAGGGGGCAGAAGAAGGGCAGTGAGGTGAACAAAAATACAAATAAAACATATTTCTGGCTCTTGTAAATTAGCATTTGTCTACGTGTTAAGGAATTCAGAGAAGGAAAGCAATTCCTTCTGTCTAGGGAAAAACTGGAGGGGATCTACTGAAGTGGTAATGTTTAAGCTGAGTCATGAATACCTTCCCAGAAAGTTTTATAACAAAAATGCTGCCTCCTATAAGCTTAGCAAAGAGTAGTAGCAAGTTTTTCATAATTAGAAAACTGAACATATATTTCTAAAAACAGTTTATGATTGAAAATGCTAACTTACGATAGTAAACGGGACTGTCACAGTAAGATGTAAGAAGGACTTTATTGTTGTTGTTGTTGTGTGCCTTCAAGTTGATTCTGACTCAGCAACCCCACAGGACAGAGTAGACCTGCCCCGTAAGGTTTCATAGGCTGTAACCTTTATGGGAGCAGATCACCAGGTCTTTTCTCCTGTGGAGAGACTGGTGGGTTCGAACCACTGACCTTTCAGTCAGCAGCCGAGTGCTACCAGGGTTCCTTAAGAAGGATTTTATTCCCTTGAAAAGCCTAAAAAATCCATTCAACGGAAGACTGTTTCCTATTTTTGGTTAGAGAGAGGACCGTTTTGCTTAGAGAACTACAATGGAAGAGATGAGTTGAATGTATAGGGCATTATGAAAATGATACATCAAGATAAACTTCACTTGTAATTATACAACACTGCTAAAAAAAAAAACCCTGCAAATGAATTATTACAAATAACCCCTTTTATTTATACTCACATTTCAGATCTTCTCTAATTACTAGTATCTCCTAAGCCTTTAGCATTAAGTGTCTCTGCCCTACCCCATCCTCTCATTTACACAGTTAACAGGACACTTTCTCCATGCACTTCTCCGATGATTCTCATTTAATTCCCATAAAAACTCCATGGCATAGGTATTATCATCCCCTTTTATAAGTGAAAAAACTGAGGTAAAATAACTTGCCTAAGTTACCTTTGAACGACCAATTAAACTCACAGGGGTAATTTAATATAAAAGAACAACCTAAGTCATTTCGAGAAAGTATTAATCTAATCATCTTCAGTCTAACTTGTAAGTTCAGTTCTTCAAAAGATTAGCTGTCTTAAAGTAGGGCACACCTGAAGTTATTCAACAATAAGTTTTTAGCTCAATCTTTTGGCTCTGGAAGTAAATTAGTCCAAGCCTTTAAAAAAAATAGAGCATCTGATAGAACAGGTGAGCATAGTGGGAGTGAGAGGAACAGGCCCTGCAGCTTGAAAACCAGAGGGCATAATCTACTTAGGAAAGTTAATGAATCTTTCCAAGCCTTGGTTCCTCAAAATGAAGGTAATCCACTCCCCTTGTAGAGTTGTTGTTAGATAAGAGCTACAGCAATAAACTGGTGCACAGCCTTGAGCAATAGCTAAATACGTGGAGCTATAGCAATAAACTGGTGCACAGCCTTGAGCAATCGCTAAATACGTGGGAGCAAACATTAGTGAAGGCAGCAAATGCCAGAACAGCTGTAGCAGCACAATGCCACAGATCACATAAATTAGTGATGTGCTGAGCTTAGAGCCCAGGAGTTGAGTTCAGGTCTAGTTCTCTTACTAAAGTATCAGTACAAGACACTTTACACTAAAGGTAAACATGGTATCAAATGCCAAACTCATTTTATTCAATAGCATATTTTGAAACTAATCAGATATCCCAAAGTACAAAAGATCCAAATGCAAGAGAAAAATACAGATATACTACAAATCAAGTTTCATGCATACAATTTACACAAAAAAAAATCTACTTGGACAAACTTTAATGCCCTCTTGTATACGAAAACACATGTATACTTGGACTGGAGCAAATAATTTAGGAATTTAATCACCTGAATTTACTTCTCAGTAAAACAGGTATGCAAGGGAAATTTCTCAACATAACAAACAGCATCTATGCAAAACCAACAGCCAACATCATTCTTAATGGAGAGAGGCTGAAAACATTCCCCTTGAGAACAGGAACAAGACAAGCATGCCATTTATCACCACTCCTATTTAACATTGTGCTGGAAGTACTAGCTAGAGCAATAAGGCAAGAAAAAGAAAAAAGAAGGCATCCAAATTGGTAATAAAGAAGTTAAACTGTCCCTCTTTGTGGATGACATGATATATACATAGAAAACCCTAAAAACTCCACGAGAAAACTACTGGAACTAACAGAAAGATTCAGCAGAGTAGCAGGATACAAGATAAACATACAAAAATCAGTTGGATTCCTATAC